TTTTGACGAGTAACTCACAGTTGGATCACTACGATATCTATAAAGAAGGATGACCAGTGGAAATTAGGCAAATAAATACATATGATAAGCTATAAAAAGCCTAAACGAACTGTGCGCTGTCACTGATGTTTCACCTCCTGTAGTGGCTGCTTCGGTGTGTCCGAGATGTAGCGCGTGTGCGTGTCCGTTCGTCGTCCCACCATCGATCTGACGTGTGACTTGAGTGGCTGATTGGATGTGTGTCCGATTGGTTGGCTCGCGTGAGCGCCGTGGGTTGACTGGATATGTGACTCAGTTGTTTTGTTTACCTGCCACGAAAGCGGACCAGTTTGGCCGCGCGTACTCAATACACCCGTGTCCATACTTACGTGTTCTTCTGACTAACTGTGAACTACAATACTGGCGACGGGGATGGGATCCGACAAACCCATCTTACCAAATGTCTATTGGAAAGCTAGAAGAATTTACTGCTACTGGAGGTTCCTGGAACTCATATGTGGAACGGGTGAATTGTTACTTTCTTGCAAACGAGATCACCAACGACAAGCGGAAAGTGAACATACTTCTTACGATTTGTGGCTCGGCGATATACAGCTTGATACGCAGCTTGGTCTCTCCGGATTTACCGAATACGAGAACTTTTGACGATCTTGTGTCTATCGTTTCCTGTTATCGCACAGCGATTCAAGTTCAATACAAGGGTACAGAAGGAAGGAGAATCCATTGCGGATTTCGCAGCGGAATTACGGAGCCTTGCGGAGCACTGTGATTACGGAGATTTTCGAAACGATATGCTCAGAGATCGCTTGGTAGTTGGTGTGAGAAACGCCCGCATACAACAGTGTTTACCAGCTGATAGTAACTTAACTTTGGAAACGGCCTACGATGCTGCGGCCTACTGCTGCTACTACTACGAAGCAACAGAAAGTAACGCAAACTTGTTACAATCTGTGCAACCTACCTACTGTGGATTCATCATATCAGGTGAATCGATTACAGCAACCGTCGAACAGAACACAGTTTAAGTGTTATCGTTGTGGAGGCTGTCACAATCATCCGAAGGATTGCCGGCACACGCAAACTGTTTGCAATCGCTGTAAGAAACGTGGCCACCTCGCGAAAGTATGCCGCTCAGCACCAGCGTTCGAAACTAACGCTGCTGTTACGAATCAAGTCACAAGGTCAGAAATCCCGGAATACGTCCTTCTTGCAGCAGCTCCCACCAACCGCATCCAACCGCCGTACTAAGTAGAACTACAGGTGAACAATGCGCCAATGGTTTTTGAGCTGGATGCGGGTAGTGCCGTAACACTATGCAGTGAAAAATCATGGCAAGACAACCTGGGACCGACCGTGAAAGGTAAACTTCAGCAAGCCCCAGTCCGGCTTCCAACATATACAGGAGAAGATGTGAAGTTGCTGGGGACGAAAAATGTGAATGTTTCATATAAGGGTGTGACGGTGAACGAAACCATATATATTGCTGAAGGAAGTGGTCCAAACTTGTTAGGACGTGACTGGCTTCAACAACTTTCCATACTTACGTTAAACCAGGTCTCGACATTCCAGGAGGTTCAATCTCTTATCCGCAATTATGAAGAAGTATTTTCTGAGTCGAAGATTGGCAAGTTCTCCGGGGGGAAGGTGAATATATACGTTCCGCCAGGAACACAACCGCGATTCCTGAAGGCTCGGTCACTGCCCTACTTGATGCGTCCAAAGGTTGAAGAGGAACTTAACCGTTTGCAACGGGAAGGAATAATTCAAAGCACGGAGTTCTTGGAGTGGCCACACCAATTGTGCCAACCGGATGACACAGTTCGAATTTGCCGTGACTATAAAACCACGGTCAATGCCAGCACACCCCCAGAGCATTACCCATTACCTAAAATCGAAGACGCCTACGCACAAATTGGTAAGAGCAAATATTTTTCAAAACTAGATCTAGCTCATGCTTACGAACAACTGAAATTAACGGAGGAAGCCAAACCTGTTACAACCATCCGTACCCATAGAGGTCTGTTTATGTTTAGTGGCCTTCCTTTTGGAATCCATTCCGCTCCATCCATATTTCAACGTACAGTTGAAAACGTATCGCGGGGATACCTAGAATGTTTGTCTATCTAGACGATTCTGATAACCAGGTGTACCATGGAGGAGCATTTAAAGTCCTTGAAACTGGTACTTGATCGTTTGAAGGAGTGCAGACTACGAATAAGGAAAGAGAAGTGTGACTTCCTGGTGGATCATGTGGACTATTTGGGATTCCGCATCAGTGCAGAGGGTTTGGCCCCTCTAGCCGAGAAACTACGTCCAATATTAGAAGCACCAAAACCAAGGAATAAACATGAACAAAGATCTTTCTTGGTCATGGTTAATCACTATGTGAGGTTTATCCCGCAAGCCGCCACACCTTTTCATCCACTGAATTACTTGCTACGTCAGGGAGTCAGCTGGATTTGGAATCAAGAACAAGAGAAGGCGTTTCAACAGGCGAAACGTGCCCTTACGAATCTTCCGGTGCTTACTCATTTCGATTCAACACAGCCCATCGTTCTCACTTGTGATGCTTCACCATATGGTGTTGGAGCTGTGTTATCGCAGAAGGATAAATCGGGAATCCTCAAACCAGTT